GAGAGAGAGAGAGAGAGAGAGAGAAGGAGTAGCTATGTCGAGAACATCCTGTGAGGCATTTTATATCACAGGTGGTAGACGATGATGAAGACCAAGATCTCTTCCGCCATTTGCCTGATGACAACCTCCAACGCGCCATGCTCCTGGGCTCGCCTTGAGGCAGAACCTCGGAGGCAGATCATCCGACCCCGACATCCATCAGAGACAGAAACCACAATATCTCCCCTACTCAAATCGTTCTTCATACACATATACTATATAATGCAACATATGCCGGCCAATGCATCAATAAACTCCTGCCAGTTAGCATGTCATACATAAGACACTCCATTCACCACCGCTATGCTCCATGTGTCTAGCACCCATTACGTAATCAATCTCGAAAATTCCACACCACAAAGCGTCCATGATGAGATCATCTCAGCTGCTCCAAACACATGGGCTAGCTTACATTAGATGAATCAATGTAATCAAAGTTTATCAAACGCAACCTCAATGTAGAACACTTATGTGACTGAAGCACAGCAATAAGAAAATACCAACCTATCCAATATGTCTGTGTGGACCCTCACGGGCACAATCCCCTGCGTGCCGAAGACAATGTGCTTAGAGATACACAGTAGCTATGCCGAACTCATCCTGTGTAAGGCCTTACATATCACAGGTGGCAGATGATGGTGAGGATGAAGATCTATTCTGCCATTTGCCTGATGACGACCTCCAACGCGCCATGCTCCTGGGTTCGCCTTGAGGCAGAACTTCGGAGACAGATAATCCGACCCCGACATCCATCATAGACAACAACCACAATATATCCATTAGCAAATTGCCCTCACACACATACATTATACAATCCGACCCATACATTATACCCGCCGATACGTCCACACGCTCCTGCTAGTCAGCGTCTCAGATCAAATATACTCCATTCACCACCATTACGCTCCATGTATCACGCACTTCACATTGCCTAGCAAATCTTGAAAATTCCATGCCATAATGCTTCCATGACGAGATAATCTCAGCTGCTCCAAAATCGTAGGTCAGCGTACATCCAACATCCGATGAATGAATGTAATGAAACCCCATCTGAACAAGTTTGTCCCTTTATGTCTGCCTATTTGGAAGTTGGCCCACACCAAAGTTAGTGACAAAATACACTCACAGGAAACATCGAAGCTCACAAATGAGGGCATCTCTGGATGCTGAAATGCAGAGAACTTCAAAACTCATGAATACATACCAGAAATCCAGACAAAAGAGCATGAATAAAGCAAAATGGAGACATACTCATATGTTGAGCCCAAAGACTGCAAGTTTTTAAGTACGCATTATCCCGCCGGTGATGAATCTGATGATCTAACCCGGCTCGTGTACCCATATGCCGGATAAATCATTTAACTTCTGACGTAGGAACGCATACTAATTTTTTCAGAGCGAGGAAAAACAAAGAAAAAAACACAGACATATTCTGGGCAGGTTCAAAACAAGAACATTTGAGTGGACGAGGCAGAAGGGCGATGCGACGTGCAGTCGTGCACGTTGATACTTTTTGATTCTAGCACATTAATTTATGTCCTCCTCGAGAGTAAAGCCTCACATTTTGTGCTATCTTATTTGAATGGCAAGAACATTTGTGTTAAAAATCCTGCCTGCAAGATGATACCAACATATCGTTCCTTTTTTTGCCTGGTGCCCACTGGGTTGCTCCTGTGCAGTCCTTTGCAGGTCACGTGGATCCAAGGCTGTCGCCAATTCAAGACAACCCAAGAAACTGGGAGCATATGAAAAGTATTGGAGAAAAGCGTGTTACATTCGGCCTTCCTGTTTTGGTCTCACCTGGCGCCAATACGACCACTGCTATCAAGAGCCCAAACCATGCTATCAAGAGCCCAAACCATCACTGCAAGCGGTACCCCTCTGCAGTAAAACCTATAAGCTGAGGGGCATTCTAGCCAGCTTAATTGGCCTGCTGTTTGTACGATTGCATGACTGTGAACAAAAGTTTGCGCGATGTGTGAGCTATGTAGAGGAATGGCTGAAACCAATTGTCTATGTGTGTGAGGATGTGCACGAGCATGGCACAGAGCCTTACTGTTGTCATGAAAGTATGCGTACAATGGGAGGCTGGGCAGCAAAAGAGTGGCCTCTCTCCTTTGTGAGATGAAGAGGACCGCTAGAGATGTATCCATTTTGAGTCATGAGCAATGTTATATCCATGTCTTCCATGTTCATTTTCTCAGAATGTATGCCTGCTTGTGTATATTATTTGAGAGCAGAAGAGAGGTTTGGATCCCGGAGGCAATCTAAGCAGCTATCTAGTAATGGCATTGAGGTGGGGAGCTAAGAGAATGTTAGAGGCTTCAGATAATGTCTGTATATAAGTGGTGTGCGTGCATGACGTGTGTGTACGCAGCCCTGCGTGTGTGTTGCAGACTGTCAGCACAGCAACCCCTTTTCCACCCAGATGAGCAGATCCAAAATTGAAACAGCTTCACCTCTATAGCAAACAACATGGAGTGGTGTTGTTGATTTTCACCACAACAGCCTCTGTTCCACCCAGGTGAGTAGATCCAAAATCAAAGCAGCTTTACCTCTATTGCAGACAATCAAGCCCACTTGAGATGAACCCATATAGTTTTGTTTTTTTCAGGTGTGTTTTTGTGTTTTTTAGGTGTGTTTGTGTTTTTTTTGTTTGTTCCAAGCGCTGGGCTATGGGGAGGTGACCACACTCCGATGTGAAAAGGGATCGAAAAAAGTCTCGGGCAATTTTGGTGCATACAGCCGTGGAAGTGATTAATGGCCCTTGTCATTGCTGGGGGTCCTCTAGGGCCTCGATGGTCGACCTTACCCACTCTGGCTCTCGCCATGGCGGAGAACCGGGAGTCCATTGCCCCCTCCATATTGTGCCGGCTTAATTTACCCCGGGTGCCCTGGCAACGATGTTCCATATGCATTAAGAGTTGGTCCTCCAGAACCGGAATCGTCTGCTATTACTGATTGTTGGGTTGCGTTCTCAAGGTCATCTTCCTGTTGCTGCAGTTGCTGAAGGCGGTCTTGAAGGTCCACCTCTTCTGAGAGGCGTTTTGTTGGTAGGAGTTTTGAAAATTCATTGCACTTGCATGCGGCCCAGAAATGCGAGGTCGTTGTTGAACCCATGCATGCCATCATGGGGATCAGAGTCCTCTGGTCTTGGCAGAAGGCCCATACATAGATTCAGAAAAAAAGGACTCCATGTACTCAACAGAGACTCAGCAGACTTTTTTTTTTTTTTTTTTTTTTTTTTAACAGACTAACCCTACCACAGACCTTAAACCTTCAAAGAAATAGGTCACACAGTTTAGGAAAGTCAACAGGCCCCAGATAGGTAAGTCCAGAAAGACAGACTCTTCCCTTAGGAAGCAGCAAATAACTCTAATCAAAACAGGGATAGATCAGGTCCCCAATCCAAATAAGTCGGCCGGGGTTAAGGGCTTTAGAAAGAACCGTAGCAAGCAAACCAGAAAGGGTTTAGGGTTCCACCAAAGTTAATTGCAGAGAGCCAACCAGCAGTTCTAGCAACTCTTACGATCCTGGTCTTTCTGAAGTGCAAATTCACAAGGAAAGACAATGGCACCCAATTGCAAAAGAAATGAAATCACTCGAGATCAGGGCTGCACCGGCCACCGGCCGGTTGGACCGGACCGGATCCAACCGGGCTGGTTGGACCCATGGTGGTCCAACCGGAATTCCGGTTGAGTCGAAAACTGGGTCAATTATTTTATTTTTTTTGTTTTTGAAAACATGGTTGGACTGCGCTCGCCGAGATCTCCCCGAATCCGCAAAGAAAACTTTGAACAGAGAACTTTTTTTTTGGCGGGGGGG